TCCCTGGTCACATCTCCCCCCACACCCTGTCTGGGAGGTACATCCACCTGAAAGGAGCAGATCCGAGGTCCAAACCTGCTGCACAGCCAAGGCTGGGTGGTTCCTGTGCCTCCCACTCTGTCACTCATCCCTGCACCCAAGGCTGCTGCTCCTCAAACACAGCACCAGGAATAGCAGCTCCCACTGCCCACATAGCAGGATGATCCTGGTAACCAGCAACGCTCACATCGAGCATGAGCAGGCCTTTATGCTGTTACTAAATGAGTTGCCTTCCAAATTATTAGCAGCATCAGGAGCTGGGAGCACATTTCTCAGACAATCAAGATAATTCTGGCTTTTGTAATTTGTTCCAGACAGGCTGAGACATCCGTACCCGCGCAGAGACTTTGTGCACATCGTTTGGCAGCTCCGGGGCTGGCACACGCTGTCTCTGCCAGTCCCACCCAGAGATGCAGGCAGCTGATCCAACTGGCTCAAGAAGCCACCAGGACTCTTCGAGAGTGTTTAATCCAGGCTGATTGGGAGCCAAAAGAAATTAATTCTGCTCATAAAGGGCAGAGCACCATCCTGTCAAGCACTCCATTATTTCATAGCGGCCTTCAGCCACTCTTGGTGTTGGACAAACACCACGGGGTTGTGGTCACTCCATGAGGATGTGGCAGAACTGGGGAAGGACCAGAGCAGCAGCAAAGGCCTGTGGTGCACAGAAAAGCCCTCAGGTCAAGGGAGGTTGGGCAGCATAAATCTCTGACTGGGGAAAAGCTGGCATTTCCTAAAACCATAGGCATGCAGAAAAAGGAATTCTTCTTCAAACATTACTAGAAGGCACCAAGGGGAATCTCAGGTAGCTGGTGATGAAAAAGGGACAAGCAGCTCCTTTCCTGGGGTGTGGAGTTAAACCCTATGGCCCATTATCCATGCTATGGAAACCAAAAGTATAAACAAGCTCCAAAACATAACTGAGGGCAGACCCCTTGGACATCACAGTTTAAAAGCCCCTTTTTTCCCTCTGAAAAATGCCTAGACATCCAAATTTTGGGACTCAAAGATCAGTATCATTCTGTCCATGCCCTGTTCCCCATTCTTGCCCTCAGCACACAGCCCTTGACACCAGCTCTATGCAAACCCAGAAATTCTTCAGGCTTTGCATCCAAAACCCAGGAGAAAATCTCTCATGAACTCCAAAAGGAAAAGGTCTGAACCCTCCATGCCCTGAATCCAGGCTCATGGCTCCAGCTGAGGGGGCAGCACAAATTTGTTCCCAAAACAACTGTGGATTTCTAAAATTTTCAACCCAAAACACATAGCAGCAACAGAATTAAAAAATCCCTTTGCCTCCACCTTGGAAAAAGTGCATTAAGATCATCCAATCCCAGGCCAACTGAGAAACTGCATTTTTGTGTGATTTAGAGCTGCTAATGGGTGATGTCACCACTGGAGCCAGTGCAATCCCACAGAAACGTGGAAATAAAATGAGCAGGAGCCGTAAAATGTGTGTTTTTCTCCCCAACAGCAACAGGCCCATCCCAGCAGGGGCAGCTTTCATTGAGACCATCTACAACTGATGGAGATCACAAGAAATCACCACATAAATCACAGAGGTAACAATATCTCTCAAGGAGAGCAACCTGTTCTTTTCCCAGGCCTTTGTTAACAGCAGATCCACAGGTTTCCTTGGAAGCAAATGAGAAATAGGCACCACAGCATTGCTGGGAAAAGAAAGCAAGGGAGTGTTTTCTGGAACAACAAACCAAAGCCATTTTGGGCCACTATCTGTTAGACTCGAGTTTAGCTCAATAAGATATTGATCCTGGCTGCATGGAACACAGCCTTGATGTATTTCCTGATTAACAAGTTCTGCTGCCTGCTTTTGACAAACAAAATCTCCCTCATTGCAGGTAGATAAAAAATATATTTATCAATAATTCCAGGGTGCAGGCATTGAGTAACCAAAAAAAAAAAAATAAAGGGTTGGAAAAAGCAGGTGGGAAGGATTGCTGCATGATCACTGGAATATTTACACAAGGCTAAGTTCAATCAATGCAGAGCCTTCCCCCACAGCCTCCTCCAAAGCACACCCAGACTCTGGCTGGCCTTTTTCCTATGGAAACAGAGAATGAGAGCAGAGCTGCTCTTTGCTTTTCTGGTGCTTAGCTAAAAGCTGAAAATGAGATCAGGTTTTCTGGCATTCACCATTTACCTTAATAAAAACAAGAGGATTAGCAGGTACACAACTCTGTGTGGGGTATCACAGAACATTTTCATGATCTTTCAAGCTTACACAGAAATAAAAAAAAAATAAAAGAAGAGGACTCAAAATCCCTCCATAATATAGAAGATCAATGTAAAACTGAGCTTGGGAGCTGAGCACTGCCTGGGAAACATGAAGTAACATTTTCAAGTAGAAATCTTGCACATATGGCAAAGGAAAGCTTTTGATAGAGTAGCAAAATGATATTTCAAAAACTGATGTCCTACCTATCTATATTTATAAGAACACATTAAGTACTGGCTTAGCACTGTCCTTTTTTATTATTCCCTAATAAATTACAGCTTGATCATTTTTTGAAACACACAGATCCAAGTCTGCCTTCCATGGAAATGAGAATGAAGGTCCCACTTGTGTCACCACCTCACAGCCCACCCCTGGAGGGTCTGTCAGCAGGAAATTTCTCACTCATCAAGCTGACTTTGAAGTCTTGATGCAGAAGCAAGGAGGATTTTGTCTCAAATCAACAGCCCTGCACAGGTTTCCCCTCTCACCTGAGCTCGTGCAGGCAGTGGGCACATTAAAGTGTTCTGGCCCCTGAAGGAAACCCAAGGAAGAGGAACTCCAGATTTCCAACACAGCCCCATGGCAGCACAGGCATGAGCTGAGAACTTAATCATGATCTGGGCAGTGCAGAGCAAAACACACCAGGCTACAGAGAAAACACTAATTCAATGCCCTGTGTGAAGCTGCAGAGCTTTCAGTGCTCCCTCCACCTGGACTAGAAATATTCAGGAAAGCAACAAACCAAGCATGAGTAACTCTGTTATTTTCAGTACCTTCCCCCTAATGCCAAAAATCGGGCACAAGCTCAAGTGCCTTGTTAAATGCAGCCCTCGAATTAGAAGGATTAGAGGTCTGGATTTCCTCAGTGGAGATGACTCTTGGGCTTGAAGCTGATGAGCTGAGCCTTTGCCACCCCTGCACTGCTGCCTGGTGGGAAGCCCTTGTACGAGACAATTTCAGCAGGGCCCAGTTGGTGTCACCATTGGAAACAGCAGCGGTGACGTTAACAGGATGGCACTTCAAAGGAACCCGCGGGGCTGCAGATGGCACCGGGGGTCCTTGTTCCAGCTGTCTCATCAAGCTGATATCCCACAATTATTTTCCAGGATCAAACAGTGCTGCAAGCAGCAGCTCCCACGGCACTGGGGAGACGCCGCTCGTTCCAGGGGGATCCCGCGGCCGCTTCGGCTGCGACGCTTGGAATGTGTCAGTTGTAAAATAAAACCAACAAACTCTGGAGTCTTGTGTTTATGGAGGAAAAAAAAAATAAAAATAATAATAATAATAATAAAAGGAAATTCAAGCCATGCCTAGACAATATGGCTGGGATTCAGAAAAGCTTTTCTGTGGAGCCTGGACTTTAGGTAGAGAACCACTGGAGTCAGCTGAATTCCAGCATATAGTGGAATGCTTTGCTGTAGGATAAAGTCAGCCAAAGCCAAAGTCCTTTCCAGAATCAGGGCCTTGATTTTATATTTTTTTAAACACAAACAATGATGTGGAGCTAACTAGGAATCAGAACAGAGCGTCAGTGAGAATAATTGCAGCATCTGTGCTAATTCTCTTTTCATCCTGGTACCCCCTGCTTCTAAGTATGGAAATCTGATTCTCCTTGTGCTTCCACTGAAGTTTCTATTGATTAAATACCCAGCCCCAGCAGCAGGAGAATCAAGCCCTGAATATTTATTCTCTTCCTCTTAATACATCAAGAATTCCCTTTGGCCTCTCAAGTGCTGTATCACAGGGTGCCATGAATGCAAATGGAATTACAGTGATCATGTAGCTAATGAATACATTTGTATATGTATGCAAGCACTTCCCTACTCCACACCACCACCAGGAGCAGGGAATAGCCACACACACAGGCAGGCAAGGTGTGGGAAAGGATGGAGATGGGAAGCATATCAATAGCAGGAGCCAGGCTGCAGTTTCTGGGGAGAAATGAACTGAAATCCTTCCAAGACGAAGGCTGCAAGCTCAGGACCTCACGCAGACCTTTGGATCGTTTCCTCTGAAGCTTTAAAGCCCAATTTGTAGACTAGAAGTGTTCATGTTTATGTTTTCATTATCCACCAGCATCACCCTCTATTTATATAAATAGACAGAAACTGCTGCAATGCATAATGTAAAATATTGTCAGCATTTCCAAGGGAGAGATCAGTGATATCATCTCAAAGCAGGGTACAAAATGCACACGTAACCTTTTCACCTCCATCCTTAATAAGACATTTTGAATTCTTTTCAAACACCTTTGAATTCTTTTGAGAAAAGTTATTTTATAAGGGAATGAATTCATTCCTGCAGAAACTTGGCTGATTTCAGAGTTGTAACAGCTTAAAACCACGATGCATTTAATTTGTTAGCCCTCTCCATGTTGACTTCTAAAGTCATCCTGTAACGTCCGAAAATAAATTGATTTAAATCAGGTTCAAGTACCAGTGGCAATTAGAACCTGCAAAGTCACAGAAATGTCAGGAGGTGTCTGGATCAGACACACACTGGAATATCTACAAAGAAATATCCTCAAAACCACTTTTGAGTTGGTTCAAATGCTTGGCAAGTGACTCATTCAGCACAAGAGCCATTCTTTGGATTTACTACAGCCAGAAATGCAGGATTTTAGTGCTACTCCACTCCAGTCAATCCCAGCCCAACCCAGAGCAAACAAACACCACAAATGAGGGTGAGAGCCCCGTTAAGCTCAGGGGGAGAGGAGGTCACCTACCCTGTGAGGACCACGACAAAATCCATCACGTTCCAGCCGTTGCGCAGGTAAGAGCCTTTGTGAAAAACAAAGCCCAGAGCGATGATTTTGATACCAGCTTCAAAACAAAATATTCCAATAAAGTACGGCTCAGTGTCATCCTGGAAAAGAAGGGAAATGAAAGGAGTCAAGGAGATATCCATGTTCCTGCTGTGATAAGCAGTCCTCTAAACAGCTACAGGCAGCAACTTCACACCTTTTCCATTCTTTGAAGAGAGCTGAAATTAAAGGTTTAAATTTGTTGGGAGTAAGATCACAGAGGAATTCCATTATTGTTTCTCTGAAATGAATTTTCTTTACAAATTGGCAATCCTATTGGCCTTCATCCTGATGGTTTCACACCACACTTTCCACCTTTACGGAATGTTCTGGAGGGAATTTTGATGTGGAAATTTTGCTCTAAGGGTATATTGAAATTAGAGATGACAGGTTTCTGGAGTTATTGGCATGGAAAATGTTCCACAACTCATCCAGGAGCCTGAAACCAGAGGGTGTCTTGGGGAGCAACAGTCAGCCACAGCAAGCCTGACTGCACTGACAGGAAATTATTTATTTATCATTTATTCCATCAGTTCTTTCTTTGCTCCTTCTCCTCCATTTTATCAATTTTCACAGCTGCAGCCTCATTTGTTTTCCTTTCACTGGGGATGTGGTTCAGGGAGAAATCCCCATCCCCTCCCATGAACAGCAGGAGCAGCAAGATTTGTGTCTGGGGTCCATGGTGCAGACTAACATTTCCCTTGGGACTGCAGATTCGTGTCCTTGCTCACTACACTGAAAAACAAGCTCAGTCTCTACAGTTTTACTAAACCTTTCATTCCATCTCTGCACCAGATCTCTCAGGATTAGACTTTATAGACTGGAGTTTCAACACAAATTCAGTGCCAAATGGGAGCATTCACATTTGGAAGGAAGATTTGGGCAAGAAATGAGAACAAAGCAAGATGTAAAAGCAATGGGCATCACTTTCAAGAACTTGTTCATCAGCTTTGGCACCAATAACCAATTTCCAAATGTGCCTTAGATCCTGGTTTGCAGTTGACTTCAGTGGAAGTAGAGCAGCCCTACCCAAATAAGAAGCAAACTTCCACACAGAGATTAGAAATCTCTTTTCCAGTGACTTTGGCATTTCTGGCCACCAGAACCAAAGAGCTGAGTTCTCCCAATGACAATAGGGGATTGTTTGTTCTCTGATGGAAAAAGAGCAGGAATGTCAAGGCTTGTGGCCCCAGAACCAGGGAAGAAGCAGGTTTGACACAAGCCCAGCAACTCCTGCCCAACTCTGGCACAGACCCACACTTCAGGACAGCACTTGGTCCAAAAATTGAGATTTTCACCCCCAAAAGTTGGGTCTGTTCAGTCTTGAGAGGTGATGCTGAGAGGGGCCCTCAGCCCTGGGTGTCCCTCTGTGTCCCTGCCCATCCCTGTCTGTCCCTGTGTGCAGAGGTCAGAGCAGGCCCAGGCTCTGCTCCAGGCCCAGCGATGGCCCCAGAGCCACGGGCAGGGCCTGAGCTCAGCAATTCCCCTGCCCAGGAGGCAGAACTGCTGCCCTGGGCAGTGCCCAGCCCTGAGCAGAGCCCAGGGAGGCTCTGGGGTCCCCCTGACCAGGAACATTCCAGAACCATCAGCCCTGTGCCCTGGGGTGGCCCTGCTGGAGCAGGGAGGTGGCACCATGGCCCCACTGTGGTCCCCTCCAGCTGACCCCTCCTGGGATCTGTAATGTGGCAGCAGAGCCCTCCCAAGGAGGCTTGGCTGGACATGACCCAGCTCAGCAAGTCCAGCAGAGAGCTCCAATCTCTGAGGATGCCTCCAAGCTGCTGGAAAACAACCCCTGGAGAGGTTTTCCATCAGCTGCTGTTTGAGTTCCCCATGTCCCTCCACACCTCAGTGGGAACAGCTCTTGCACCATTCCACCTTTCACCCCCTGTTACCTCTATTCCCCTGCACCTTTCTGAGCTCACAGCCCCAGCAGCTCCACCTGCCCTGTCCCAGTGGTGAGGTGACAGTCACCTGCAGAGACACTCACAGGTGCTGCCTGGCCAGGCAGCAAAACACAGCAGGGGCCTGTTAAGGGGCACTGGGCCCCTGGCTGAAATGGAGAGCAGAAAGTGAAAACCCAGCCTCCAAACTGCCTTCCTCTCCAGCCAAGGAGGGCTTTGCACAAGCAGCAGCATCTCCAAGCCCTCTGTCCCTCACTAATGCTGCTCAGAGGACACAGGAGCCACCCCTGCCCGACCTCCAGCTGCCCCTCTCAGAGCTGTTTACCCACAGAGAATCAGGAACAAAGGCCACCAGACCTTTTGTGACCTTCAACAGAAATCCTACAATACACATCTTCTTCCAGCAGCTGCTCCACAGTGAGAGCTGGAGGCATCCCAGGGTTCCAACCCAGCACAGAAAAGAGGGAATAAGGGAGAAGGGGTCAGAAAGGGGGCAAAAATCATCCTGATTCAAGGAGAAGTTCCTTACAACTCCTCATGGATACAGGAGCCCTCTGACAGCCCAATCCACCTGTTCCTCAACAGCTCCAGGTAATGTCTGCACACAAAGGCCTCCCAGCCCATCCCAAATCCCCATCCCACAACTACTCATGTGCCTCTAAAAATAGCTCTTCTAAGACACACAAAAAAAGCTACCTTTACCCACATCCACTCCTCCACATTACTCCCTCACTTCCTTGAAGCCTGGTATCTACTCCAGGCTCTGCTCAATCTAGGTCAGGTGCCTGGTGATTACAGCTCCCAGCTTTAAAGAGCCAGGCTCCAGGTACTCCAGGGTTTGATGGGATGTGCTCTTCCCAAAGCTAGGGCTACACAGAGCTCTTAGGAAGTGGGTCAGGAGTTTTTGTCAGCTTCTAGGGAAGCAGGAAGCCTTGTAGATGGATTTGGGTATTTATTACAAAGAGAAACTCTCATCTGTAGGGTTGGCAGGGAGTAGCTGGGGAAATAAGAGGCAAAAGAAAGAAGGTCTTTTCTAAAGCCTGCCTAAATTTACACTAACTCAGCCCAAGAATCAGGGCAGTGACAACGAGATGAAAAATAAAATTTATGCCCTTCTAGGGAGATGTTGTCTTATATATTACAAAAGTCCTATTAGCATTATAGGTTGTCTTATATATCAAGAGTTCTGTTGTCTTAGGTTGCCTTATATATCAAGAGTGCAAGGATTCCACAGCACCAGAGTTTCATACCTCCTCAATGTTTCCTGTATGCAGCTCCTTTAAGCACTGACTGTTCTTGGTCCTTGCAGCAGCCCTCTGACTTCTCTGACTCCTTTTATGCCACTTGTTCTTATTGGCTACAGGTGTTGCCTGTTATCATCAGGCCTGCTCCTAATCTTCAGTAATAGGGACCAGCTGCAACTCCTTGGGGGATAAGATTACATTCTACATTACCTTCATTTACCCATATTGTGTCCTCCTACAGGGAGAGGTCCTGCAGCTGACAAAAAAAAGGATTTGTCTGACTGTGTGTGATGGAAGGAGGGAAGGACGTGGCTGAATGCCCTGTGCAGCACTGAAATGGCCCTGCCTCAGCTCAGAGTCCCTGCTGGGACACCCTGAAACCCCTTCAGACCCAAGGCTGTGGCCCTGCTCGGGTTCCAGAGGGGCAGAGCAGGTGATGATGAGGATCCCTGCGCGTACTTGGAAGGAGGGCAGAGGATCTGGGCAGCAGCCAGAGCTGTGCCAGCAAGTTGTTTGCTGTGGACACAGCAGAGCTTGAGGCTGGGCCAAACACACATTTAATCAATATGTTTCTGATCAGAAACAACTTCTGAGTCTGGAAAGTCATTACCATCCCTACTTCACGTCCTAGTGTCTTTCCTTGGCCTTCAGATGTGACAGCCTGGAGAGGTTTGGGTGTGAAAGGCCTTGTTCATGCAAAGGTTAATATGAGCAGCTCACACATTACTGCTCTAAGTGCCTGTGGATGGGAGAAAGCATTCAATCCATTAGTAAATTGCCAGAGCTGTCACAGAGCTGAAAATGTGGGAAAAGTGATGTTCTGTCCTCACCTCCAAAACACCCAGGGGAGCCAAACACGCCGAGCCTGCAGTGAATATCCCACAGCCCCTCTGGTGTGGGAGAGGTTTTACAGCAATTTCTGAGAGCCAGAGAGAAGTTTGATAAGAGGAGCCACGTTCACCCTGGAAGAATTTTCTACCAATGTCGTTGACACAGAAACCAAGAAAGAAAGAAGGAGAAATAAGAGAAACCTGCAACTGCCTGTTCCAATGAGCACTTTGTTTGTCTTTCCTGACCAATGAGTAAAGTGCAAACTGATGAGTTTTGTAAGAGTGTATAAAAATCATGCATGCTAGAATAAAAACAGTTTGAAAATGGAGTGTGTTGCTTTGTGTTGTCTCCATCTCAACTATGACACTCTGGTGCCTCCCAACAGGGCCTGCCCCAGGGAAGGGCAGGGCAGAAAAGAGATTTCCTGTCCTGCAAGTTCTGGAATCATCACTGTCCTTCTGAGAGAGGTCTCCTGAGCTCCTCCTGGGAAACTGAGCAATCAGGAAGGAGACAGGGAGGGAAGGAGGTCTTGGTGTGGACAGGCAAGAGCCTCATGAGCAAGGTACCCACGAGGCCACTGGGGGCTGGGATGGGAAGTTCCCATTCCCACATTTGGAGCTCTCACCACCAGGCTCTGGGCTGCTCAGAACAGCTCCCTCAGCATCTCTGCAGCTGCATCACCCCTGTGTGTACAGACAATGCAATATTCTTTGGGGCAGAGGGAGGCTGACTGGGTGGAGATGGACAGGGGCAAAGCTACTGCACTGGACAATTCCTGGTGGAGATGGACAGGGACAAAGCTGCTCCACTGGACAATTCCTGGTGGAGATGGACAGGGGCAGACCTGCTCCACTGGACAATTCCTGGTGGAGATGGACAGGGGCAGACCTGTTCCACTGGACAATTCCTGGTGGAGATGGACAGGGACAAAGCTGCTCCACTGGACAATTCCTGGTGGAGATGGACAGGGGCAGACCTGTTCCACTGGACAATTCCTGGTGGAGATGGACAGGGGCAAAGCTGCTCCACTGGACAATTCCTGGTGGGAGGGAAACATTCCCAGCATCCAGAGCATGTGAGACTTCCAGCTCAGAGCAGGAAAGAGCCTCGGGGTAGGTCAGTCTGCTGCTGGTAGGAGAATGAGTTTGTTCCTCGTTTGATGATCGAGGACCTGAGCCAGTCCCCCAGTTCACCACTAAATGCTCTGATCACCAGACTGGTGCTTTCTCAGAGCCCTGATTTTGACCAGAATTTCCAGCCCAGAGCCAAATAATGCTTTTCTGTGCATTCTGAGAGTTCTCCTAAGCCAGACACTCCAAATCTTGGAATACTGCACATGTGCTCAGTTATCCTGTCTGACAATTACAGGAGCACAGAAAACAGCCCAGTGAGATTGCACTGCAGGATTATATCCTGGGTCTTGGGGAGATAAATAGAGGAAAATTTTGATTAAAAGACAAAAATAATTAAAATGTTTGCATGGGCTCCTCCCCATTTTTCCTCAGCTTTAACAAACCAATAATTTTTTGTTTTCTTTGTTTCTGTGGAACAAATTATCTGGGCAACTTCAGTTTTCCTTCAACAACTCTGCCAACATGTCCCAGTCTCAAAAGGCTTGCAATATGTTCCTCATATCCTTAATATCTGATTAACTCTTCACTGATGATCTCCAATTTGGAGATTTTAATGAAACCAGGAGAAAAAAAAATAAAAGCCATATCCATTAACCATTGCCCAAAAAAAGACCAATTCCATTCCTTATTGCTAAAGACAGCAATAAAGCACCTGCTGTTCTGCATGGACTTGGAATTTGGCTGAACAAACCTGAAAATGTATAGGAAATATATGGGAACATTTCCCCACTGTGGTTTAACACAGATTTGTAGCATTTTCGATGAAACAACTTCCAGTTTATAGAAATAACAGGGGAATTCTGAAGAGGTTTCACTTTGAAAACTAGAAGACCGTTTTTCTTGCTCACAATGCTTATTCTTTCCAGCTTATGTTGAAAATAAAAAGTATTTCATGACTTGTAAAGATTCTCAGTGTTACTCTATGAAAAATCACTTTGTACTTCAGAGTTCCAAATCTGCTGTAGTTAAAATGGCTTCAGGATATCTGGATCAAATATAAGGGTGCTTGGGACAAAAATGAGGGCTTAGTTCTTCCTTCCTCTCTGAGGCAGAGCCAACAGGGCAGAGATTGTGCATTTAACTCACTCAGCTCTCTCACACTGCTCGGTGGCAATGCCAGTGCCCCCCTTTGGAATGATTTAGGCGGGATCTGAAGATGTGTGTGCTGTAAAATGGAATTAATACACTGGGAAAAGGACAATAAAATGCCTCTAGGATGCCCTTATAAATCGAGGGATAGAGAGAAACATAAAACCAACACGAACCAAAGGATTGCCAAGCCAGAACGTCCCTGAAACTGTTTTTCCTTTTGTTTATAGCCATGGAAAGCACTTCCCCAGCTCAGTCCTGGCTCTGAACCTGTGCTTTGGTCACACCCCCAGGCTGGCCTTGCCAACCAACCCCAAAGCACACAAAGACAGGTTTAATGGCAGAAAGATCTACATACAATCACTGATTGATTTTATCCTCGTGTCTTCTTAATTAAAAATAATTCCAATAGAGAGAGAAAGCAAGCCTTGTGCAGGAGGGCAGGCAGCAGGGGTGGATCCATTTCCAAACCAGCACCACACTCTGACCCTGACTCTCCAGATTCCTCACTAACACACTTTTTCCTGCTTCTGGAGAATGAGATTCTGAGAGTTGCCCACTGGCATGGGCCATCCTTGGGAACTGCAGCAAGCACTATTCAGAGGCTCTCGTTTCTGGCAGCAAGCCTAATGTTATCTTTGTTTGCATAATATAGCATCTACATGGAAAACACATATGGATCCCTATTTCCCCATCCTTTGAACATGCAGGATGAATGCATTTAGGCATGCAAGACGTTCCAGATCATTAAAAGTAGAGGAGAGTAAAAGGAGAAAAATCAAACCAAGAATTACACAGTTTTCCTCCAGTGATGATAAATGGGAGAATTATTTTGAAGCTATTCTTCTATTTTCTTTTGAAATAAGGTAATTGGACTCATTACCATAAAGCCTGCGGGTAAATTATTTTTCTCTGTAAGCTGGTTGCATTTTTTTTGGAAAGGAAGTGTAATCATCTGAACACAAAGTTTTCTTTGAAGGATCTGTGCTGTGGCAGGAAGAGACACACAAATCCTAAAAGGTTGCTCTGTTCTACCACTCCCTGGGAAAATTAAAATTACACAGAAGTTCATTTGATTCCAAAGATAATTCTAAGCATTCCTCAGCTCCTTCCTGTCCTGGTTTAGAGGCAACCTAAGTTTGAAGCCCTTCTGATCATAAGACAAGATCCAGCTCTCTCCCGTGGCTGGGCAGGGCTGGCTGGAGTGATGAAGCATTCTTGTGCAGATGGGATTGGGAGGGGACAATTATCCTTGCTGTGACTGATTTTTTCTGATTGTCAGATCAGTGCCTGTCTGTTTACGTGTGGATCTTTAAAATAGATCCAAACACTAGATCCAAACACTTCCAACACCCAGTGGCCGACTGCTTTTTTGTATTAGACCAGGAAAATAAAAAAAGAAAATTAATGAATGCAACTCACCAATCTCTCTGACATCGGTGTCTTGTCTCCATCCGGCAAATGTTGTTCCAGAGCCAGCACAATACAATTGGCTATGATTGTAGCTAAAATCATGTATTCAAATGGAGTGGGGACCAGAAGTTAAAGAAGACATTGGACAATATGAGAAGAACCCCATCCAAATCCTGTTTGTACCCCCAGAGTTGCATTAATTGAGCATTTTAAGGTTTCTCATATTTTTTTAAGCCATTTGGTCTCCTTGACTTCCTCGGTTCTTTCTGGGGTGTGTTTGGAAGAGAAGAAGGAAATTGGCACTTCTCTTCTGTAAGAGTCAGAGACTCACACAAGCTGAGCTGCTCAAGGAATCCGGGAGCAAGAAAGCAAAAGGTCCAAAGGAAATAAAAAACTATTAATATGTATTGATTTTCAAAGAGATTGATAAACTAAATTGTCTCCAAATAGATTATACAACTAAACACCATCTGCTGAATTTTTCTTCAGAAACATTTAACTTCAGCACATGGTGCAAATAAGTGATGGGCACAAAAAGTTCAATTCAGAGTACCTACCCAGGTCTAAAACATTAATTACTGCTCAATTGCAATGCCCGCTCTCAGTGAGGAAAAAACCCTCAGCGCCCTTTTGGGATGTAGGAGGGAAGTGGGGAGGGAAAAGAATCCAAATCCAGCACCAGGTCCCCCTTGTTTTTAGCCACCATCTCCCACCCTGAGCTGTGCTGAGCCCCAGCTCTCCCAGGGTGGAGCCGTGCTACGGGCGGCAGCAGGGCCGAGGGCAGGAGATGGCTCCGATCAGCACTGATGGGAGATGGAACCAGGGCATGGGGAGATGGACCCAGCACCACGGGGAGATGGACCCAGAGCATGGGGAGGTGGACCCAGACCATGGGGAGATGGACTCAGAACCGTGGGGAGATGGAACCAGAGCATGGGGAGATAGACCCAGACCATGGGGAGATGGACCCAGACCATGGGGAGATGGAACCAGAGCATGGGGAGATGGACCCAGACCATTGGGAGATGGAACCAGAGCATGGGGAGATGGACCCAGCACCACGGGGAGATGGAACCAGAGCATGGGGAGATGGACCCAGCACCACAGGGAGATGGAACCAGAGCATGGGGAGATGGACCCAGCACCACGGGGAGATGGACTCAGAACCGTGGGGAGATGGAACCAGCGCATGGGGAGATGGACCCAGCACCACGGGGAGATGGAGAGATGGGCTCAGCACTGCAGGGAGATGGACCCAGAGCATGGAGAGAATGGAACCAGCATCACAGGGAGATGGAACCAGCACCACGGGGAGATGGAACCAGCACCATGGAGAGATGGACCCAGCACCATGGAGAGATGGACCCAGCACCATGGGGAGATGGACCCAGCACCATGGGGAGAAAATGGAACCAGCACCATGGAGAGCTGGGCTCAGCACCGTGGGGAGATGGACTCAGGACTGTGGAGAGATCGACCAAGGACCATGGGGAGATGGACTCAGGACTGTGGAAAGCTGGGCTCAGGACCATGGAGAGATGGACTCAGCACCATGGAGAGATGGGATCAGCACTGCGGGGAGATGGACCCAACGATGTGGGGAGATGGACCCAGCACCGCGGAGAGCTCAGCTCAGCACCATGGGGAGCTCCTCTGAGCGCAGCAGAGAGCTCGGCTCAGCACCAGGGACAGCGCCGAGCCGCGCCGCAGACACAACACCCTGGAGGGCTCCGCTCAGCGCCCGAAGAGCTCGATTTGGCAGCATGGAGAGATTGGTTCAGCATCTCGGGGACCTCAGCTCAGCACCGTGGTCAGCCTGGCTCAGCACCACCATCAGCCTGGCTTAGCACCACAATGAGCTCAGCTCAGCACCGCGGTCAGCTCGGCTCAGCACTGTGGCCAGCCTGGCTTCAGAACCGTGGTCAGCACAGCTCAACACCGCGATAAGCTCATCCCAGCACCGTGGTCAGCTCAGCTCAGCTCAGCTCAGCACTGTGGCCAGTCTGGCTTCAGAACCGTGGTCAGCTCAGCTCAACACGGTGATAATCTCATCCCAGCACTGTGCTCAGCTCAGCACCACCATCAGCTCAGCTCAAGCACTATGGTCAGCCCAAATACAGAACCGTGGTCAGCTCGGCCCAGCACCGTGGCCAGCCTGGTTTCAGCACCGTGGTCAGCCCGGTTTCAGCCTGGTTTCAGCACCGTGCCTAGCCTGGTTTCAGCACCGTGGTCAGCCCGGTTTCATCCCCGTGGCCAGCCCGGTTTCATCCCCGTGGCCAGCCCGGTTTCATCCCCGTGGCCAGCCCGGTTTCAGCACCGTGGCCAGCCCGGTTTCATCCCCGTGGCCAGCCCGGTTTCAGCCTGGTTTCAGCACCGTGGCCAGCCCGGTTTCAGCCTGGTTTCAGCACCGTGCCTAGCCTGGTTTCAGCACCGTGGTCAGCCCGGTTTCAGCACCGTGGCCAGCCCGGTTTCAGCACCGTGGCCAGCCCGGTTTCAGCCTGGTTTCAGCACCGTGGCCAGCCCGGTTTCAGCCTGGTTTCAGCACCGTGGTCAGCTCAAGCCGACCCCGCGGACAGCGCCCGGCCCCGCCCGGCCCCGCCGCTCCGGCGCGGGGAAGCGCCGGTGCCTCCGCCGGTCCCGCCGGCTCCGCAGCACTGGGGGTCCCCTCCCCACATCCCCCGGAAAGATGCAGCCGAATCGCGCAAGAGGCAGGGGAGGGGAAGCCTGAGTCTACCCGCACAGTCAAGGCGATGCTCTGCCTGCCACCGGGGGTTTGGGGCTTGTTTATCCAGACTTAAATGCAGGGAAGGAGAACTGGATGAGGAAATGCAGCAATAGCTGGGATTGTATAATATGGACCGAGATCAATACGTGTTTGTGTGTGTTCAGAGAGAAGGGAAGTGCATTGGCTCCACTGGTGTATTTTTCCTGTTAGCCCCTCAGGAAGTGAAAACTGGGGAAGTCTAAGCAGGAGCTGGCCTGTGTGGCAACTGAAAGTGTTGCTAGGAGGCTGGGAGGAGGCCGTGCTGCTGTTAGCTGAGGATTAATAGGGGTGTGATATGAAATGAAAAGAAAACAACCGGCTCCCCTGAGACCCCCAGTGTAAAGCACTCCTGTACACACACACAAAATCTGCTCCCTGGGAGCCTCAGCCTGCTCCCCTCTGCTCCCAGCTTACAACCATGGTTCCGAGCAAAGCCCCCTTCTCACTGCAGCTCACTTGGCCTGGGAGCTGGGTCTCAGACAGAAAGCATCTGCCCCTTTCACAATACAGCAGATGATCCCTCTCCCCACTTACTGCCTCCTTCTGCCACAAGGCTTTGCTAATTTTAATTTTTTTTTCGTGCAGCCTAAGCTTAGGCTATGCACCTAATCGAAGTGCCATGATTCATGTTGATTCAAATGGATTCCGGAGGGAATGTGCTAAAACCGAGCTGCAATGATTGCATTCCTGGGATTTACCTGGGCTCTCAACGTCCCCTACTACCAATGCAGCTTCAATGCTAAGGTGTCACCATTTTTATCCCACATTCCTTCTTCTATTCACAGGAAGACAGAAGAGTTGAAAGGCTCCAAGATGGAAATAAAAATCAGGATTCACGGGCACGAATCTCACAGAACCTGACTTGAATTGTAGGAAATGTCAATCCATGCACCTGTACATCTCACCCCTAGAGACACCCTGACATAGCTTACACACACCCCGGCATCAAGCACACCAAAAGGACCCTCGGTGCTCCCACAGAAGCAATTCCCTGATTCCCTGATTATTCCCATATTCCCACTGCCACAGCCGTGCATCATGTCGGGCACCCGGCTGCCGGCACACACACCCATGGCACAGCCCGATCCCACCGTCTGCAGCAGCAGCAGACACTCTCCCTGCGCTGCCTGGAGGGGTCTCTGCCCCTCAGCCTCCCTCTCCCCCTCCCCACCTTCCCCCCGTGCCCACACAGCCTCCCTGAAAGGATATGGCCACTCTGTTATTCGCTTGGCGTATTTCCGTATAACATTATCTTCACTGAAGATGAAGAGGGATCTGTTGACTGTGAAGCAGTTCTGTTTGACAGGGATGGGGTTGTAGAGAGCCATAGTCCTGGCTCTCTGAGCCATCGTCTGTTTATACATCCTTTGGCCGGCTTGGGGGCCACCTTGCCGGCTGCTCCCTCTTCCAGCCCCGGCCGGCCCTCCACCTCCATAGCGGGTTGGCAGATCATCCCCAAACCGAGCCATCCTCGCAGTGCACGGAGCCGGGCGCTACAATCCAAACTGGCAGCCGAGGCGAGAGGAAGACGCATCACAGCGCGCAGCACTTCTCCCTCCGGGGGCTTCAGTTGCGGGATCGGGATCAATCGCGGCAAAAATAGATCGATATATAATAAAACAAAAAATATCCCTTTTCCTTCCTCCACCCCCTGCGCTTCCCCGCCGCTGTGGCTGCCCGGGGGTAGGAGGAAGGCTCCGGGGCTCCGCTCACCTCCCCGCACAGGTGGCGTCTCTCCGGCCCGACCTCATGGCCGGGGCGGCGCGGGGTGGCCGCGGTCCCTTCGGCCACGGGGCGCTGGGCTGGGAAGGGGCTGCGCTGCTGCCGTGCCCGCCGCGGGAGCGCTCCGCCGTGCCCAGCCCAGCCCGGCACGGCTCCGGCACGGCCCGGCCCCGCCGCATGTGATGCCCGGAGCCAATCGGCCGCCGCGGCTCCGCCCGCTCCAGTCACCGGCACCGGGGGGCGGGCGGGGAGAGAGGAGGGAGGATGGAGCCGGCCCGGCCCGGCCGCCGCCGCCCACCCCGGTAAATACGGCGGAGCCGCGGCCACTCCCCGGGGAAGGAGGGCTCGATCCCCCGCCCCTGCGCTGCGCTCCGCGGGCGCGCAGAGCCCCGGCCGGGGGTGCTGCTGCTCCGATGGGTGGGGGGCACAGGCGAGGCAGCCCCCGCGCCTGCGCGCCGCCGCCCAGATGTGCGCTGCCCAGATGTGCTCTGCCCAGCTGCTGCCCCCACGGGTGCCCCGAGGCGCGGCGCGGGCAGCGCTGGGCAGCGCAGCTCCCGTCACCTCGGTGCCCCCAGAACCCCGAGGATAGCGGGGGAGTCACAGTAAAAAATGGGGTTCGGGGCTCGGGGGGGGCTCAGCCGGCAGCCCCGGGGGCCCGGGGCCGGGCACGGGCGGGTGTGGGGCGGGGGATGCGGTGCCCGCAGCGCTCCCGGCGCCGGGCACGGGCGGGGATGTGCGGCACGGGCTGGCTGCGAGCAGAGCTGCGCCCTTGTGCACAACTTACTTTGTTTCTCCTTGGTTTGAATGACTCCTGCAGAGCGCTGGATACCTTTAATCCTGTATTTATGGATGAAATCCTTTAATCCTGTTTATTCCAACACCCTCTGTTGCTCCCCTCCAGCACAAGTCAGAGAGATAACTCCTCCTTGTTCCTGGAGCGCCGCACGGCAACAGACACTGCAGTAGCTGGCGAGGAAATGCTTTTGCATTTTAGGCTAAATTTGGGGTAGAAACTATTAACTTTGAGAAAAGACCCCTCGGAGAAGTCAGGGCTGTCAACAGGGGGACATTTTCACTTCCTCCACAGCAAGGAAAGCCTGGACTCTGCCGCTAATGTGTTTTTTGCCTTAGTCATCCAAGCTCAGTGCAAAACCAGCCCACCGACCAGGCAAGCCTGGAGCAATAACATCTGCTGGCTTCAGGAGCCAGTCAGAGGGCTGGCAGCAGCCACAAGTGACACAAATGAGGTCTGGCAAGACGCAAAGGGTGACTCTCCGGAAGGAACCGGCTCCTTACGCCGGGGCTCGGTGTCTGAAGGGCTCTCGCACACTGCAGCACAGGCAGGAGACGCTCCCGGAGGCGGCACCGGCAGCCGAGGGGAGCCAGGAGCGGCTCTGAGGCACGGAAAGCAGCGAGGGAAGGAGGTGAATCACATCCTGCTGCCTCCAGGGTCGCACGCAGCAGGAACCGGCAGCCCCCGACACCCACAGGGGTCTGCGAGCTCTGCCGAGCGGGGCAGCCAGAGCAGCTCCGGTCTGGAGGTTGCCTTCACCTGCACCTGCTGGCAATGCAATAAAAGATCTTTCCCCCTCCCCAGGTCTGGGTAATTCACAGATTCAGCTGAGTGCAGGAGTCTTTGGGAAAAACTTTGCCCGGAGACAGATGCTGGAGTGGTTCAGCATCCCTGTTCCACTCAGACAGACCCTGGGCAGAGTTTCAAAGGAGAGTTTCCTGCAAGGATCTCCATCCCTGAGCACTGCTGAGATGATCCACACAAATGGGAAAGTTCCCTTATTTTGGGGATGGAGAAGGAGGGTGCAGGGAGCTCTTCTTTCTTTAAAATTTTCCCCTAAAAAACACTTTGATCCTTGCTGCATTGTATCCTACGATGGATTTATCTTTCATCTGAAAATCATGTTTCCCTCAGCTGACTTATTTACTGGTTTCATTTTTATTAAACTTATTTACTTACTTAGTGGTTTAATATTTCACTTTTGTGCTTCTGGCTACTACATCTCCTACACCCTTTTTCAGTGGAAAAACCTGACTTTTTCTCAGTGACTACTAGAAGAGGAAACGCCATTTTCAATAACCCCTCACCTCTCCAGATGGAAATCAGTACATGGAGGAAAAAAATACATTGGTTTCCAAAATCTTCATCCTCCTGTGCTTACAGAATCAGGGGGATGGATGACACAACAGCTCTAAAAAGGAGAAGAAAAAAAAAAAAAAAGAAAAGCTGTTTTTTGCATCAGGTCTTATTGAGGATCAGGGAAAATCCTGACCTCCACATCCCCTTCTCTCCTCCTACAGCCACCAAACCACTCTGCCTCTCCCAGAACAAGCTCTCCACCACAGCACTGCAGTGAAATCAGCAGCCAGGGCAGTGGGGGTGTTCGTGACAGTGAGAAAATGATGTGAGCGTGTCGTGAGGATGCTCTGTTAAACCACTTTGCCCTTTCCTCAATCTGCATGCTCAGGGCTTTTTTCCTGGATTGTTTTTTTTCACACCCTAAGGAAGATCACGCAGACCTTAAGCATTGAAAGCCTTAAAGAAGAGAAGGAGATTGCAATTGCAAGGATTATTTGGCTTTGAGAGGGGAAGCGCCAGGATTTAGTTGGGCTTTTTAAGATTAGGAGAAAAGCAGGGGAGTTAAGAGAAAGCAAAAAATTTGGAGCACTGAAACAGGTCAGACATCCATAATCTCCCATTACAGGAGGGCAAAGAGCATTCCATGGAAAATTCTAAAAGTGGACTCGGTCATGAGTGACTCCTCCTCACAAGCCCTGAAGACAGAGGTGAGTAAATCACTCTGCTCTCCAGCAGCACAGCTTAGCAAGGAGCCTTCCTCCTCCCTGAGCAGCTTTGCCAGGCAACCAAGCGTTCCCCTGGACTTCCACTTCCAGCCCAGGCCTGAGGCAGGTGACTGGGCTTAATGGAGCAGCACTTCCATCTGCCAAGGCACAGTCAGGGCAGAGAAAATGGCCCAGAGGGGCAGCGTGCTCTGGCCAGGTGCCTGGGACACTGGGGCCGTGGCAGGCACCCCTGGTGTGTTTGTTTGCCCCATCAGAACAGCTCCAGGAGCTGCTGGGACAGTCTGGATCCATCTCTGCATCCACCTCTGGAGGGGTTTCTGGGGAAATCACAAAGTGGATTCCCAGCTTGCTGTGCTCCAGATGCTTCCAGCATAAGGAACAGTGGCTAAAATTTAGAGACACAGCCCAAACATCCCCCTCTGAGCAGGACAGAGGGGGGACATTTGCAAAAACAGCAGCAGGAAAGAATATTTCTTCCTTCAAGAGAGGAAAGGACTCCCACCATGCCCTGACTTCCCTGGATCCTGCCCTGCACCTGGAGTAGCTGGGAGGGAAGGTCAAAGCTCCCCAGCACAGCTTTTGTCCAGGTGAGCTTGAAGAACTGCAGGTAGGCTGTTATTTACTCAGAATTTGCAAGGCTGAGGAACAGAGGAGCATTTTCAATCCCATCTTGAGGCTCTGGATCCAGGGTATTGCCAAGCAGAGCAGCTCCCAGGAGCACATTTCCTTTAAAAATAAACAAACAACACAGACTGCACATCTCCTTCCAGCCCACAGGAAGGTTCAGAGCTTCAGGCCAAGAAAAGCAGCTTCCCAAGGTGCTCCTGGCCAGGGATTCCTGCTCTCCTCACTCCCATTTTGCACCAGCTGTGCTGGAGGAAAATCCTGCTGCCATGCAGGCAGAGGAAATTGTTAAAGCTGGCACTCAGGTCTGCCAGAGGGTGTAGAATGGTTTTATATAAAATCCATGAGGAAGATGCTCTGATACTTTTTCTTGAGAATAAGAGAGTGAACAAAGGGAAAAGAGGCCTTTTGAAGATACAGCTCTTCCTATGCAAGTCCTGATCATGGCATTGTTTAGTGTCCCAAACCCCCAGGGCCAATTTGTGGCATTGACATTTTCTGAAAAATCCCTTCACCCAGGATTTTTCTCCTGGGAAGCTGAGAAGCCTCAGAGGTGGAAAACAGAGAAAAGAGAAAAGGAAAACAATTATCATCTCATTTGCTTCTTCTGTGTTGTGCTCATGTGGAATGTGTTTGGAGATTGTTCACCCACAGGTGATTGTTCCATTGCATTCTGCTGGGAGTTGTTTTCACTCTTTGGCCAATCAGGGCCAAGCTGTGTCAGGACTCTGGAGAGAGTCAGGAGTTTTCATTATTATCTTTTTATCAGTTTTCATTATTATTATCTTTTTAGCATTCTGTAAGTATCCTTTCTGTGTTCTTTAGTTAGTTAGTTTAGTATTCTTTAATATAATACAGTATAATAAAAAAATAATCTTCTGAGAACATCAGATTCATCATTCCTGCCTTCATTGGGGCACCCCACAAATACAATTCCAATTACCCTCAGCTGCTGCACAAACATGGAGCAAGAGAGACCCTGAGCTCATTGCCTGGGGTGGGGGCACAGCAATCCCACCTCAGCACAAGGGGTTGCACAGACCCCCCAGGCTGGAACCACCCCCATCCCACAGCACCACACAGCTCTGCCAGCCCACCTCAGACCAAGGGCAGCGTTTAAAGGATCAGCTGAGATGGATTTGAGGAGAGGGGAATGGAGGCAGAGTGCCTGGAGCCCAGAGCAGGGCAGGGAGAGACAGCAGGGGCCGGCAGTCCCTGCTCAGCACCTTCCCCACCTTCCCTGGGGAGCCCCAGGGGAGCAGGGGCTGCTGAGCTCCTTTGTAGGTGGATCACGACTCCAAAGGCAGCTGCTGGCTGTGGCAGGAGCCAGCTGAGTTCAGTCCCAGGTAGCTCAAAAATGGGGGTTTCAGCTCAGAAA